ACTTAGTGGAGATTTGAAAAAATTTCTGAGCATATGGGGATTTCAAACTTATCTTGATGTAATTTGTGAAGTTGGGACTATTTTCTAATCCAGATGGAAGCTAGAAGGCATTACAAGAGACTATTGAAATCAAGCTGTTGTATCTCAACAGGGCACAAAAACATCTGTTCTTTGTTGGCCAAGACACAGTTAACAAACATTATTATTAGGTAAGCATCCTATTGTGCCTGTCATCATATATGTCAATTTCTGCATAAATTAGGACTCTAAACCCAACAGCAGGGAAAGAATTAATTTCTAAGAAGCGTGGGCCAAAATAACATTCATGCCTGTCAACCACCACCACAATCAACAACATCCTTTTACTCAGGCTTAAAGAAAAAACATCTAGCAAGCCCAAAATAATTTAACAACACTTCTATATTATCTGTATCTCAAAATTTTGCTCAAACAGAGCCTCTAATTAAAAAATTAACAAAGGTTTTTCTGAATAAAGTTGAAGGAAAATTTATGGGACTAAACTTCTGCATATTCTGAAAGTCTTATCCTTAGTATATATAATCTAATCCTAGCAGATTACTCAAACCCAGAAACTAAAGCCATAAATGTTCACAGATACCCTTGACTATCCTGGATTTGCAGAGGTTACAAGATCTTTGACTATTTAACAAAAGAAGAGTACAAGCAATAAACCACCACAAAGATTCTTTTGTGAGATTATGATCACTTAATTCAGACCTCTACATGACACAGGAAAGTACAGCTGAAAATGAGTTACTTTTCAGTAGAGAGCAGAGCACTATAAAAGCAGCTTTTACAATTATTTCAAGATCTCAGGGTTTCTTCAGACACAGCAGCAGAGTGAAATTTAAAAGAGGCCCTTTATACAGTCATTTGCCAGTCCAGGTGGCCTGGCCACGCAGTGATCCTGCAACATTTTTGCTCAGGCTGCCCCTTCCTTGTACTTTAACATTTCAATTCAAGCTTGAGACTCGATGACAGAGCACTTGCCTACCATTGCTCCCCTAGTCTGCTTTTCTTAGACTTTTGATTTTGAAATTGTTAACTCATTTGAAAGAGTATGCTCCTTCAGTAGCTTTGGTTTTCATGTTTCTTGAAGGAATATTGTGTTTCTTAATGTAGTATGTAGGACATAGCATAAACTAAGAAAATATATTATCTGAGCAACTTCCCAAATGAAATAAATCTCAGTAACTGCTTGTATATAGTGAGAATACTAAGCTACAAGCTTCTAACTCATATGCCTGTGACTCTTTTCCAGGAGGCAAAGTCTCTTCCAAAGCTGTTTTTTTCCCGGTGGCAGCATTTACCCAGGAAGCATGAAATGTAAATACTAGGATCTCATTTACCAGCTGGGGTCTGATCTCTCTGGACCCAGACAAAAGGTCAAAACCTGAGTCTCTTCACACCTCCTTCTGCTGGAGTTGGGTCACTATGATCAGGGAAGGCAAATTGAAAGGGCTAAAAAAAAGAGGAAAAAAAAAGAGCAAAGCCTCTCTCTATACAGAATGCTGAGGTTTGCAGACTCTTCAGTCTCCATGAAACTGCTTTAGATATGTCCAAGGATTTACGGCTCTTCAGTGCTGGATCCTAAGATCTGGTTATTCTGGGAAAATTCAGATAGTTTGAACACATCCCTAAGTTACCTCTTTGATTACCGTTTTACAGAAAATGAACCAAAGCCATCAAAGCAACTCACAGAACTCCTTCCACTGCCAACTACACAGACTAGAACACTGGAGTCATCACTTCCCAGTTTTAGAGCAAAGAATACCTTCTTGTACACAGCAATCATGTTTTTTGGAACTTATACATTCCTTTGGTTCCTTTCATTACGTGATATTAAACCACTTTCAGCTTCATTCCTTTTAAATTTGAATCACCTCACACACCTCTATGGATGAAGCTTTTTGTGCTTCTCTGTTTTCTGACTTGATGCCCATTTGCTCTCTGTGTATTTACTGCATGTGTGAGTCCAGTTTTCATTTCATGCTGCTGAAGAAAGCAGAGACAATGTACCATGCAGGCTTTAGCCACTTGACTGAGTCTGTGCTAATATTTCAAGGCTAATAGCAAGCAGAAAGATTTTAAGGAGTCTTGAAACCTATGGACCGCTCCAGGGCTGGAGCTGCTGGTACCTTGTGATATTGGTGCTGGTGGTGTCTCACTGCCTCAGGGAGTGAAATATTTCCCTCTTCAAGTGCCCAAGGTCAGGAAGACTTCTCTTCTTCCACTGCACACTCTTTTCATGAGAAATACTTGTTTTCCCTCTGGGTCAGGTTTCTATAGTCCCCTCACTTCCCTTTTTTCTGTCTTGCACAGGTGTAAGAAAAGGACACTGGCACAGCATCTATCTGGGGGAACAGAGCCGGTGTTCTCAGAAAACAAAGATGGCATTTGCTGCCACTGGATGAGATAAGACAGAAGAAAGAGCTGCACAATGAAACAATCTGTCTCTTCTGATTTTACACTTAAAAGCAGATTCTAACATTGTCTTTTGCCTAAGAGACCCTCAAAAGGTACTATTATTGGAGAATGATATTTCTGATCTACTTCTTACATATAATATTCCCTCTACATACTTTCCCCTGATCTTGCTAGGAAGAACTTCCCACAGATGGGAAGTTCTGTTGTATTGAAAAAGCTATCAAAAAAGCTCTTTAGGTCACCACAGTCAGCTACAGTTACAGAAATTATGTGACTCTCAGAGTACTCAAACAACATAGGTAGAGTTCCCCTTTGCAGAATAACCACTAGCAACTATAATACCTTCCAGTTAAGGGGGATTCTCCTAAGGAAGACTCCTTTGCTGCAATGCCAGAATTCATTATGGCATTTACACCAGTCATGCTTAATGTACAGGGGAAGCTGGACACAAAAGTCTTAACAAGGATTATGAAATTCTGATGTGAATGGACCCCACTGCCCCATACACAGCAGCTCTCCACGAAAATAAGTATTCAGTCAGCCTAATGGTAATCTACATTTTTGGTCAGGAACCAAAAAAGCAAAACATAAATATCATTCTGGGCAGTACAGAATGTGGCTTTTGCTTTCCACTACCCTAAAAGCTACACATCTCATCTGTCAAAAAATTAATCTAGACTTCTAGCCTAATCTTCTCAACATCCTTTACAGACAACAGAGGAATATTCTTCCAGAGTCCAAACCATTTAGTGCCAGACAGACACTAAACAGGCAGGATGCATCAGTCTGTGAAGATGGCGTGTTATTTCCACAAAATGTGGTGACCAGACAGCTAGCTTTGAGTGACAGACCCAGCACTTCGACTGTTAAAGTTAGCCAAATGCTGTTACCTCACAGGAAAAGCTGGAAATGTTGCATGCAGCTTATAATCCACTTTCCAGTGTGGCAGAAGAAAAAATAGGGCAATTTGAGTATTAAGAAGCCAAATCCAGTGAATGTTTTCAAACCTCATTTACTTACCTTACTGTTCACAGGTAGGAATTAACAGTGGATGCCACAAAAAGGAATTTCTTAGATCTGGAAGAGGTGGAGCTATGCAATACAGATGGAGGCACTGAAAAAATCTGAGAACTAGTATTTCTCTAAACGTTTCTCTGCCATTTATAGTGTTGGATGGGTAATACCATGTATCTCAAGTAAAAGAAGAAACTTAGGACATACAGATGACATGGCATCTTTTCAAATACTCCCTGAAGCAATGGGGTGAAAAATAATACAATTTCCTTTTGAGATTTTCCTTATCCAAATATATTGATCTTCCAGGCAAGAATGACTCCTTAACAAGAACAGTAAGTGAGAGGGTATTAAAGTAGGAAAAAAATATAAAATAATCTTTAAATAAAAATTTAATTCACTCTTACTTTACAGAATATTTAAAAGTACCATAGAATTTTACCGTCAGTTCTAAAAATGATCAACAAGAGACTGGAATGATTTTTGCCAATAATATGTAAGAAACTTCATGAAGAAATGGATGCAAGCTAAGTGAAAGCAAAGTAATATTTTGTACACCACAACTATAATCAGAATCTCGCATTGGTTTATTCAAATTTTGCTTTCTTGGAAGCAAAGCTTACATGTTTGTAAACATCAAATTAAACATTGCTTAATTTTACAATTTGCTAAACAAATACTTTTTTACCCTTAAGGGCATATGCAGACCCATCTATTTGTCTCACAGTTCTCCTGTTGACCTGTGCTTCAATATTTTTTTGAAACAATTGGTTCCTGTACAATTTTAATGAAGCTTAAAAATTTCTTCCAATACTGTGCAAGTCATAGGCAAGGCCATTTTGAAGTGTGTACTTCCTTACATAGTTTTTTGATCAGTACTTAACTAATGCAACTGTGAAAAACTATACATTTTCAGGAAAATGTTTAGATTTTGGTCCTGTACTTAAAGACCTTCTATAATCAAGTTGTTTACATGAATTTGAATCACAAGCATGTACACAACAAAACCACTATACCTATGTTTCTTGGTCTATGCATAAAAAGTATGTTTTCTACTTACACTAAAACATACAAAAAATAAACTACAAAAATTGTTTACACTTGATTTCAGCAAAAAAAGCTTTCTTCAAGAAAAATGATTCTTCTTTTTTTCAGCCATCATAAAAGGAATGCAAGTAAACAATAAATACATGTGCTTTCTCCATATAGACATATTTACACTTGAGTCTTTGGCTTATGTTTAAGTTTCTTTATAAAGATCTTTATGTGATCCAGCCATCATTGCACATTAAAACAAAATAAGCCAGTTTTTTTTACTATATATAATATATATATGCAACACTTGAAACGTATAAAGAATGAACCTTACTATCAATTTGCACTGTTATTGTACTTTAACAATGTATCAAAAGGAAAAAAAAATACCATATAGGAAATATTGATACATGCAACAGATGGTCGCTCTAACTGTTTTGAGAGACGGCTGCATATACACACACTAAAAAGTCCTAATTTGCGCAAATCTCTTCTGACTCTGGTTTTCATTAAATAGTATTTATGTGGCACTAAATGTTGATACTGTATACAAGCATAGAAACAGATTGAGTTCTTTTATTAAGATACACAACTTCATAAGAAAAATACTTTGCATTTAAAATTTAAAATCCCTCCCACCCCCCTCTTTCCCTAAAATCTTTCTTCACAGGATCAAGAACTGTTGTCAAAACAGCTTATTGAGATTCATGTATTTGGTGAACTTTGCCATATCCCTTCCAACTAAGAGGATTCCAGGTACTCCAGCGCCACATCGTAGCAGAAGCGATATTGCTCCTTTAAGGGGAAACAGAAACAAAAACTGAAGTTAAATAAAGATTCTAAAATCTTAGCAGCAGCATCTACAACCAAGAACACTGTTTGCTAACTAGTAAGCCAGACATGCTTGGATTTTCTATTTTTTTTCCCCTATTACACAAGTAAAGTACGTTACCAGCTCCGATTTAAAAACTCACCCTAATCAATGAAGTGGAAAAAATCCCTGACCATGGAATGCAATTATGTGCTTCTCTGATTTTTTCAGCTTCTAAACTGGTTTATCAAACACGAAAAGCTCTCCTCTCAGTCAGAGCATTCTTGCAGTGAAAGCACCTCAACTCTTACACTTGATCACTTATACTTGAGTTAGCTGATACTGAGCAGTAACTAATGCCTGCTGCTTGTGAATGGATGGGGAATACTGAGCCATGATACAAGGCTGCTCAGGGTTCACAGCCCCTTTGTACAGTCGTGTTGATGTAACATCCAAGAGATCAGATACACATTTAAAAAAGAAGGTAAAGCTAAAACTTCATTGTGGTTAGTATTTTCCCTCAACAAGGCTGCTGTCGAGAGCTGATACTGGGGGAAAGGGAGGAGGAAAGAGAGAGGAGAGGTGAAGAAGAAGAAAAAAACAAGAAAATTAATGCGATCTCTATTGCCCTTGTGACTTAACAAAAGAAATCTGCTTTTGTGATTTATTTTTGTTTGCAAAGGAAGACAGCGTGATCCATTAGCAGGAAGTTGTGGGGATATCTTAAAGGCTTTGTTGTGCTGCTCATTGTTGTTATCTGATCATGTTGCTGAATGTAGGGCACATGACAGTGTTATATGTTGGTTTCCCTGGTTTGTTTTCTAACTAACGACTCAACATCTGCTGTTGTTCAGGAGTTCTGAATAAAACCCCACACAACAGAAATACATAACTACAAAAATTTTGTAACTTCACTTTAAAGCTACAGTGGAATTCAGGTCTATTTTGAAATGAAATATTATTTTGCAGAGCGTTTATCAGAAACACACACAATTTACCTTGGCCTCCCTTTACTGTGACACAAATAATTTTCCATGAGATCTGACCTGTTTTCTTCACAGCAGTCAACTAAAATCCAGGCAGCAATTTAATATGTTGTGTCTCAGATGTCTGTGGCGCAGGAGAATGCAAAGTATTTGTGGCAAAACCAGCAATACCTAGCCCAGTGTCACTGCTGTTACAGGACGTTCTATTTGTTACCATGTTAACTATCTTAATTCATGTGATGGCAAGGCATGGAACTGACGCACAATAATTAAGAAAATCATGCCACAAAAGCTACTTGATACTAAGTGAGCACTGACACTTGCAAAAAAGGGCAATATGGGGAGAGGTAGCTATAGACATTTTGCTCAATATGCAAGTTCACAAGGTCAGAAGCAATTTCCAGTATGCATAAACTGCAAAATGTTTTAAATTTCAATTGGCATCCCTGATTTTTATGCTGTAGGCAGCCATCTGGCTGAAGACACTGGCTGCTGGCAGTGTGAGAGTCAAATGGCAGGAATTCCCAAACACTATTTTTCAAGCTGCTTTCACATTCACCTATAAAAAGGAAAAATGTCCATGTGGGAGAATTTTTTTAAGGACTGCTCAGCTTTTCTGACTGAAGCAAAAATTCCTATGCCTATGCACTCATACTGTATGCATAAAGATTATCCAGAAGAGTGAAGATTATTTTGAGTTCTGGCAATGTACATACAGATATTTAGTCTTGCAGTTTCGCTAATTCAGACTCATATTGTTTATATTAGTGCAAGGTGATAGAAAGGCTACACAAAAGGAGATAAAACCTCCTGATGGTTTCCTAGAAAACCTTAGCACCTAGGGAGACATTCCCAGAAACTAATAAAAGGATTAAAATGAAGGAAGGAGTGATGTGGAGACAACACGGTCTTTTTTCTCGAACATCCTGGCTGCCAGGAACTGAGGAAGTGGACCCTTGGGCCTATTTCATCTGTCTATCACCCCAAAATTAGTTTATTGACTATATCCACTCAAACTGCCTAAAGAAAAAAGGCATAAAAAGAGATTTGACATAAGCAAAAATCGGGGAGAAGTTCCATCAACTCTGTGGGGGTAACCAACGGGTTACCTTTTCTACCTCCACCTTCTCGGGACACCTTGGGCTGAGCGATCGCTTTATTAATATATACTAATTTCACTTTTGCTTCATAGTAATTTAAAATTTTTATGTATTACTTCATTGTAAGTTGTTTTTGCTTTATAGTGTGTATTTAAGTTTTTTGCTATACTTATTCTTTGTTGTCTCACTTACTTGTAAGTCACTTTTGCTTTAGGGCATGTGCTTAAGTTTTTGCTTTACTTATTCTTTGTAGGTTGTTTTACATCTTTGTAAGTTGCTTTTACTTTAGCAAATCTGTTAAGGGTCAAATGAAGGGTCTCATTAGGTGAGACGCTAACAGACTCTTTTGGACATTAAAAGGCTTTGATCTCCTGGGGGGGACACTGATAGACAGAAAATAAATTAACACAGGTTAGACAGAAAATTTCTCTTTTCTGCCACTTTTCACGTGACAATTAGTTTACTGTTTATATTGTTTATTATTTAACTGTTGGTCTCAATGATCTTAAGGGTCTTTTCCAGCTTAAATGATTCTAGATTCTATATATTCATTTGCAACATACTAGATCCAAGTCTTTGATTTTAAAGTTCTGAGGTATCATTTTGACTACTACAAATCTGAGCAAAAAAGATTAATTGTTATTCAATAAAACTTTCAAAGCAGCAGTTGTTACTAAGGAGAAAAATATTCACATATCTAGCTACGAATCTATACTTTACAGCCTATTCCTATCAAGGAGAAATGTCTTTGTAAAATTTCAAGATGGCTTGTTTGAGCACAGCCTGCTGCAACTTCCTTTCAAACAGACAGGGTTATTTTGGGAGATTAAAGTGCATTCTGTTAACTCAGAATATTTTCTGTGAAAATCATGCTACCAGTACAAGAAAAGTACTGTAAAATGCTTAGTCACCCCTCTTGTGATGCTGACTTGTGTGTACACTCAGTATCTGTCCCTTTCTTCTTGTGGCCCATCATAGGTTTGCACTGTTTTGTGGGCACAGGACTGAGAGAGCAGCTCACACAAGAGAGCCTCTGGTTCCCTTGCTGTTTGCAGTAACCCTGATGGGCTGGTACTTACCGGAGTTTCTACCATGTTGGGCTTGCTGTTCCGCAAAGTCTTCACAGCATGGAAAACGTCCACCACATTCTGCCTTTTTACCATCTCAACCACAATGCCAATGGCACAGAACATCCCGCTCCGGCCACCACCATTTCTGTACACAAGGAAAACAGATGGTTACATATCACTACGACCTAAGAGAACACCCAAAATGCATTTGTCTTCTTTCATGCTGTAAGCATGAGTGATTCATGAGTCCCAGAGGGAGATCAGAATTTAGGAATCTCATTGCAGCACCCGTGAGTTTGGTCTAAGAAATTTGGTTTTTCTGACCTTTCTCTCAATTACCACTTTTGAATTCTGTCCTTACAGTCAACCATGCTGCCCAGCTGTACTATAAGTCTAAATTATATATGTATTAGAAAAAAACCCCAAAACACAAGTTCCATGGCAAGTAGAGAACTAGAAATAAAAAAAAAACCAAGTTCAATGGCAAATAATTTTTCCACTTAGTTTTGGAAAGACACTCACTTAAATTATCCTGTAATATGAGGATTATCTAGCCAGATAGAATAAGCAATTCAATATCTTGTTGACCTTTAGGCACACTTCTGAACTATTTTAATATTATTTTCAAAGAAATTAGGGTAGGTATTTCCTCTTATGAAGTTTGAGGTGGGATAGGCAGAAAGGGGTCACTAGTTCATTCTGAACATTTAAACAGAAGTCTTTTAAGGAAAAATGCATAATTCAATTTCTATATTTAAAACTTCGTATTTAAATAAGGTAGGAAAGAGATCAATTATTTTCTGCTTAGGGAGGAAAAGATGCCATCTTTTCAAAACTCTCAAGCCAGCTCCCATTTAAGCATCAGGTCCAGATAAGCAGCCAGCAGTCATTTACTGACAATAGTTGTAGGATCACGTACTGTAGTAGAACTTTTCTCTGGTTTCATATATCCATAGTTTTCAGTTTAAACACCTCAAAGTATTGTAGGAATTCCTTCTGGAAAAAATGCAGCACACTACATGCAAGAGTGGCACAAAAAAATAACTGTTTGGCACTCAGCAAAAAAGACTTCCTTCTGAAACCAGGCAGAAGTTGTTTATCTGTAAAGGTCTAGTACCTGAAAAACATGCTATTATGTACAGAAGAAGGCAAATACACAGTATCACAGTAGTATCATGTTCCCATGGTACCTTGACCTAATACAGACAAATCCAAAAGTTGACCAAAAGCAGTGGTACTTACTTTCTTTTAATAAAAGTAACAAGGGCATGTGAAAAAGAAGGTATCCATAAGAATACTGCTTGAATTTAAAACAAGAAGTAATTTATAACCATTTATTTGAAGAACAGCAATTGACTTTCTCCAAGTTACTCACAGGCAATGGATGATGGTCCGGCCCTCCCCTTCTTCACATTCCTCTTGCCATTTTTCGACCTGCAGAATTAACTTCAAGAAGGATCTCTTGGAAGCTGGTACATCTCTGTGAGAAGCCCATCCCAAATACTGGAATTGCTGCACCATCAGATAGCCCTCCTGTGGCTGAGGGAAAACCAAAGAGCTTTAGGTCAAAACGACACCTTTACATCTTAGTTTAGAAAACAAAAATATAAAACTAACATGAAACCTAAGTGTTTATATTATGAACAGATACCAACAAGTATATACATTGCATGGTAGGCTCTCCATTAAATTGTACCACTTGAGCTCAAGGAAGATTTCAAAAAAGGGAAAAAAAAGAGGACTACATTGAAGACATCATCACAGTTTATCAATCACTAATGTACCCTATTCTGACTTTTAAATGGACAAATTCCCTAGATTCTAAGTGCCAAGCTGGTTTAACATCAATAATCAATAAAAAAATCACTGTTAAGTTCTTAGACCCACAGATATGAAGACAGATCTCTGACTCCTAAGCATGAACTGATTCCATTACAAATAAACAAGAAGTAATATTGGTGCACAAATGCAACTACTGTCCTTGAAATCTTCTCTTTTTGCCAGATGATAATCATGACAGCCTTGCTGCCAGTCTCTGAGCTTTCCATATGCTAGATGCGATAGAGGGAGAGCTTTGAATACAATTAGACTGTCACAAGAAAGGCCTCAATAACAGGAAGAATAAATAGTCTATTCACTTTCTTGCAGCTGAAGATGACGAAAAGGAGTAGGACTGTGGATTTTAGAAAAGGAAGAACAGAGCAGAGAGATATTTAAAAACAAGACGTATAGGCAAAAAAGCCACAGGAGAGAGTGAGTAGAGGAGTAGAAAATCAAAACATCATAAAAAAAGAAGAAATGGAAAAAACAAAAATAAGAAATGAACCAAAAAAAATAGAAAAAAAAGAGGAAGTCTCAAAATACAACAAAAAAGTGCTATGATGTAATATTTGCCAGTGTGCCCACACCCACACCCTCCTGTAGTTTTCAAACAAGGCATGAAAAGCTGAAAATGTTTTTCATAGTTCTGAATATAAGCAAAATAAAAGTTTGAGTAAAACACTGGCCACATGAAAACTGACCTCTGCTCTCTGAAAAATGAAAATAAAAATCAAATAAAAAGAAAAATCTTTGTGTATACACAGTAATCAGTTTTCCCCACAGCTATCCTTCAACATTAATGAAAGTTAAACATATACTCCAAGTAGCAGTCAGTGGTAAAGTCAGTATTGGATGAAAAATACAAAGCAGTCTTGGTAAGTAAAATAGGGATTGCTGGTTAATTGTACATAGAATGGTGGCACAAGTATCTGTAACTCTTTAATGGCAGGCAACATAAATAAGTGATGCACAGAGGTGAGACAAAGGAGGAAATGCTGTGTGGCAAACAGGGTCTGAGAAGATGCTTCAATAGTGTGAAACACTGTGGGATAGTAAAAAGACAAGATGGTGCAAGGTATGAAAGAGCTGACAAGAATGCAAGACTGGCACTGCTACTGAGCTTGAGAAAAAGATGATAAATGTAGGTCGAGGCACAGTGGTGAAGAACCCTTCAGAGGCAGAGGAGCTTTCAGACTTTTTTCACGCCCTGCTTTACAGGGTGCCACAATCTTCCTTTTATGTTGTGGTTCTCACATCTTAGGCTGAGAAGGTCCTGGCTGTATAACCAGCCTCAGCTTTCCTGTTCCTGATTTACCATGGAAAACATCTTATCAAACCTATGAACTAAATACTTGTCACTACATGTTCATTACAGGGATATTTCTTTTACTGTACACCAAACAAGCAGACTACAGAATACTTCTCATACATCTACTCATGAGGGAAAATGTCACAGAAAAACACTCATTCTCCCTAAGTCTCTCTCTGTTTAGTGCGTAGCTAAAGAAAAGCACTAGAAATTAGTATTAGACAGTGATGTTTGTCTGACTGTTTTCTGGTTAATGTCTTAAGAACATTAGTATTCTACTGTTTTTCAAAATTAAAAAGTAGAACAGCCTAGAGAGCATTAAAAATAACATATTTTTCTGTCACATATTGTTATGATAATGCTTACTCTTGTTAGGTTGCATATCCTGAAAATTCGGTTTATGACATCGCAGTCCATTGAACACGACATGCATTCCACTTGGATGGGACCGTACCGCAGTATCCCTTCCTCGGGCCAGTATTGTGGGCAGCCCTGCACCAGAACAAAATGGACATAATTAAATGATGTAAGTTACACCTTGAGCATTGCCTTATTCCACTGCAGACCTTCAGTGAACAACTAGTGTTGATTAGTTTCTGTAAAGTAGAGAATAACTGTAAAATCACTGCACTCCTCTACCTTTTCATCATGTAGTGAATACAGAGTGATTAAAGCATGCAACGGTACATGGAAAATTCAAGCTCCAAACTAACCTGTGCTAAGTCGACTTCATTTAACATCACAAGAGAAGTACAGCCATAGTCATACACTAATCTCCAGAAATCTTTCACAGTGTTTGGTAAAGGATGTTGTGTGACAATAAAAGCTGCTGGTTGCCTGTAGCTCTGTAAAGGCAAATAATTTTATTAGTACCTGTAGGGGAAGTACTTAACTTCTACTGAAACACTGCAACAGAAAAAAACCATAAAAATAGAACAAAGCTATAACATCAACTACACCAGATTTCACCAAAGATGTTACAGTTAAAAATACATTATCATTTCCAGTAAGAACAAAGAGGTTGACTCTGCTCAGGTCTGCCTTCTGCTCGGTTACAGACCAAGCCCTGTTTTCTCAGTTCAGATATGCTCTGGGCACTGATGGTGCTCTTCAGGGCTCTGCTGAACTGAGGCTCAGGCAACTCTGCTCCAGGCACTGTGTCCAGGAGACCAAGCAGGAAACCTTCACCCCACGTTACAGGGAGGGGTGCAGAGGTCTCAGAAAGTCACCCTATCCACAGCAGGCTATAGGTGAACTCCGTGACTGAACCAGGGACTAAGCTCAATCCCAAACTCTGTTTCACACTGCACACCCACAGGGTCACCCACAGAACCACTTTCAGGATTACTGGGGCCCATTTCCAGCAGAAAGCGTAAGTTAAACAGCAAAGTACTATTTCCTGTCATGACCGCAGGTTCCATTTTCTGTATGCTGTGTTATACACAACTGCAAATAGGGATTTCCAGCTTTGCATAGATTAACTGAGACACAACTAACAGTTGACGGGCTCATTTGATGATGTACATTTATTACAAGCATCAAGCAGAAGAGGAGAGATCAGAAGTCTTTTGCAGGCAATTTGCAACCATGCATGGAAAAGTTCTGCAGTGAAGGAATACAGATATGAGGTAGTAAGGAAGCATCAAGAGGTTGATCCGAGAAATGGAATAAGGTGGTGAATGTTCTTGGAGGTGGATGGGATTTTAAGTCACCAGTTTGAAAAAGAAGTTGCTGGGACTACTATATGCAACACAGAGAGCCCCATGTTTAGCACCAATGCTGGTAACAAAAGCAGTCTGGCTCTTTTTTTACTGAATTAAGTAAATTAACTTAAGAGAAAGACCTAGTACCATAGATAAACCGCTTCCAGTATGGAAGCTTACTTGTTTGAAGATTGATATAAGGGATCTTCATGTGCAATATACTGACATACCCTCCAATAACTTGTTATTATTGTACTGTAACTTGTCTTTATGATCAGTACTTGTTTGACAAGAGAGTAAGGAGGCTGCCAGTTTTTTTAATCTAAATTTTTCCTATCCTTTTCTAATGCAGGAATCATGTTGGGGTAGTAGCAGCTTGTGTCTTCCTTCCTAGATCTGCCCAGGGAGAACACAGGAACAACCAATTTTGATTCTTCCCCAGTATTTTTAAGAAACAGAACATGTCCTAGCTGATGTTTTCCTATCCCTCTTACCCATAATTTCTAGTCTTTCTTGAGATAAGAGAAAGATAAGGGGAAAGTTTCCGTTTCTATTTTGCTATTGAAAGTTCTCTTTCCTTGTCCAGGAGTAATTCCCCCCCTGTGAACAAATCAGTCTTAAAAATTTCTGCCTTTCCTTACTTGTCTCTGATTTCTGATCCATTAATACATTGCTTGGTTCTTGTCCCTGCTGCCACATACTGTTGCACACTCAGAGTCCTCTTGCCACCCACAGCCTGTGTTGTCTTCCTTTCACCCCAGACTACACTCCTCCGTGCAGCTGTGTTGGTTGGTCCATAGTCCATCAATTTTATCCATGTACTTAATGTAATTTTAACTGCAATTCTAAGCAGTTTTGATTGCTACCAAAATTCTGCTCACTGCTTTTATTCATCCATTGACTCAGTCACCCAGTGACTCCCTCATACATTGGTCTTACATATGCTGCTCCTCTAATCCTTTTGGCACAATAGCTATTTCTGAGATTAGGGACTGCATTTTGCTATCAGTTCAAATGTTTCCTGCACTAGCTCAGGCAGAACTCAAAGATGGCTACATCATTCAGTGCTAACGATTTCTGCTGCTATTTGCTATTTTATTCCAGCATCTCTCCTTGACATGGTAGTTTCTGACACCACTTTATTTTTGAGGAAGGTGAGGTGTCCCTGGAAATCAGGCCACTTGTTTAATTATTTACTGAAAAGGTAGCTTTAGGGACCTATTGTTGGAAATGCCAATGGGAGGCACAAGCAGGCATATGGCAGCATGTGTGATGAACAGATTTATCGATTAGACCTGTATAAGCAGGTTCAACTCCATTTTTCCTGTTAATTCACCTTTTCCCCTGACATGTACTTCTGTCACTCAAAGTTAAACTTTAAAGAGTTGCAACTCAAAATATGAACAACAAAACCCCCAAGTCTATACCCAAACATGCCAAAGAAACAATTTTTTTTCTTCCTCTGTCACTCCTGCCTCAATATAGAAAACTTTTTTTTATGAAATAGTGATAGTAACCTCATGCTCAGACAGGTTATCTGACAAACAGCAGATTTTTGAGATCCTGCTGGGATTTGAGATTTGGACATCTAGAGACTCGAGCTTTATATAATGCTGTTAAAAACATGAGATTTCCAGTGGGTCCCACAAAGATGCAAAAGGCTAAAGATAACAAACCTTCTGAACAAACAACACAAGCTAGTGGAGCTTCTTACCCATTCCCCCCCAAACTTCTTCATTAGGACCGTTTTACTGGGCACTGCAGTAACAAAGAATTACCCTTTCTTAAACCAGCAAGTGCTCTCTCTTATATTACAGAGCTTTTCATGGCAAACTGTGCAGACAAAGAAGATAGTATCTTACATCCATAAGAGCTGCATTGATGTAGTTGCTGCTGTCCCCATCAATAGTAATTAAGAAAGGCAGACATCTGTCAGGTGGCAGCATATCCATGAAGCGGTTCTTGTCATGGTTCCTTGGCAAGCAGGCTATGCTGCAGTCCTCCGCTTGCAGGCGAGGGGTCACAGAATTCAGGGTCTAAGGGAAAGAGGATGCTTGCTTTAGTGCGCTGAATCAACACAAAATGGACTCAAGATTCCGCAAGTTTTAATGTAAAATATTGCAATATGAGAAAACGTGAGGCGCTAGCGAGAAGACATTAGCAAATATGAGCTCCTATCCATTTGTTGGACATGCTGGTGCTTTTCAAGGGAGGTTAAGCTGCGGGTATGAAAGGCACTCCGCATACCACTGGACACATTCCGCATGACAGCATCCTTTCCGAAAGGAATAAAAAATCAAGATCCTTTGGAGCCCTAAAGAGCTATTCCTTAGCTGTGCAAATGCAAGTCAAAACTCTCTGCTGGTTCCTACTCACTGCTCATTATTCCAGACAGATATTTCTAAGCTATTTTATTAAAGAAAGGATATTCCATATTTAAAACAACTTTGCAAAGCACATAAATGTGGGTGCTTTATTTTGTGTACAAAAGCTAGAGACCAAATGCTATTAAAGTTATTTGAAAAGCCTTTTCATTGAAATAAATTAAATGCATCTAGAGGCAAAAAAATTGTTGTTGCATCAAGAGTTAGTAGGGACTGTGAATACCTGAAACTCATCTTTGAGATGCGAAGAGTTTGTCTGAGAGTCAATTCTAATCATATCAAAATAAGCAGCTTTGAATTCACAGACAGGAATGGCAGTTTCTCCACACAGACAAGCTTCTAGAATGGCATCATGAATAAAGATGTACTGCTCCTATCAAATCAGGAAAAGAAACAAAAATTATAGCCATTTAAAAACAATAGATCTTTCCTTCTTTTAGGATAAACAGATTTACTGCACACTGTAAAACTCATCAAGGTAGTGTCCATCAGTACATTAAATAATGTTTTAATACAAACACAGTCTTGTTCTTATTGAGGTGCAGTTAACAAGGACATTTTCTTCATGACCAATTTAAATTCAGTAAAATTTAACAAAGCGGGGATAGCAATTTATTTAACATGAGGTTTTTAGTTTTCTTGCAGTGCTTATGGGTTTCTGTGCATATGCCAATGACTTGTTGGCAATACTAATTTTTTTAATAGGTTTCAGACTTCTGATAATAACAGAAAGAGTAAATTGCTTCAAGCACTACTAGTGTGATTAGCCAGTATTTGGCACACTGCACTCTCCTCATGCATGTGCAAGCTAGTACCCCAATTGCCTCATAGCCAGCTCTAGGCCAGTAATAAATACAAGTATGTTCCAACAAAAGCACCATTTCTTCCCATTTTTTTCCGACTTGCCTTGAGATAGCCTGAGTCCTAGATAACTGCACTACTATTTCAATTAAGTCTTCTGTCAATTTTTACACAATGCCCATTATATTTACTCACCCCTAGAGTAATAGATGTAAACCATGTCTAGAACTGTGCCAGCCTCACCTAGTTACTGTGTATACAAATGAGGTTCTAACAGCACATACTTTAATATGTGCCTGTAGAAACAGCACGTGTCCAGGGACCATGGTCATGTTCTGTCTCTACAGCCTTTGCTGCCTTACCCACACAGGTATAGAGCTATTGGCATCACGGTTGCCTATATAACAAGAACTTGCTGCAATTACAGCTTTATTTTTCTATGTAAGTATGAACCTCTGAGAGAAGGTAAGAGGTAAAAAGGAGAGAAAGAGAAAGGAATAATAATAGAGGTGTTAATTCACATGCAGACTCAGGTGGGATAGTTGAAGCAGTCAGACTGAAACACTACATCCCAGGCACTTCCCAAAGGTTAATGGTCCTGTAGCAGGACTAGCTGACCATGAACATTTATTTGTTCAACTGACACAGGTTGAAGCATGGAATAAAAACTGCACCAAATTACACTGATATGCCTGGCTGCCAACTGCAGAGATTTCCATGCGGTCACAGATGAAATAACTTCTCAGGTAGATGTCCCTATGGAGAGAAAAGGCAAACCACTTCGGGTCGCCTGTCTTAATATAAACCAATAACCTATGTTTCCGTGGAAGCTTAATGGTACTCTGGTGGCAGAATGGGAACTTCATTACTAAGCTTCATTACTAAGGCAATGGTTTTTACTGTGAAGCTGCTGAAGACATGTTGAAAAAACAAAAGGGTAAAAAATGGTAAAAGATTGGCAGCAAGGTTAATAAAGCAAACAAAAACAGAGTTGAAAAGGGAGAGAGAAATAGACATAAAGTGCAACAGTCAATAGATAAAGTGATTGGAGACGGTCTAAAACCAGTGGCAAACCGCTGAAATTCCACCTGTGGGTTCCTGGAATTGCTGATACCAGAGCTGGGGAGAAATGTCCCAGACAGGTCTTACGTAAGGTCTTCCCTAAAAAAATCCTCCTTGCTTTCCTTTTGTTACCCAGTGAGGTGGGCACTTGTTTGTGTGAAGACTAAAAGAGTTGTCACGTTTGTTGCACCACCCTTGTTCTGGGCACTGTTAACACTAAGCAATGCTCCCTGATGGAGATAAACCCTCAAGAAGGCCACTGCCTGCTCTTTTCACAGCCACAGTGAAATTCTGACGTAGTCTGTTTCAAAAGGCTTTGAAGGCGAACTGCCATACCTCAGTCTGTACCATGTTGATGCGACGGGACCGTAAAGCTTTGACACAATTGTAGATATCCACAACACCTTCTCTTTCTGCCATATCTAACATGATATCGATCACAATATAACAACCTGTCCGTCCAGCACCAGCACTAAAAAGAACCAGTAAATACTGTTAGGAATATCCCCAGAAAAACATCTACAAACTTTATAACTATTACTGAGGGCATTTTTATAACGACATTCAGTTTTGCCATCACAAACACTATCTAATTTTTATCTTCTCATCATAATGTTCTTTAAATCTTTTGATGTGTCCAAAACAACCTTTTCCCACCAGATTTTAGCCACTAAGTAACAGTAAAAAAAAAAAAAAGAACTTCCTTTTATCATCCAGGTCAATACTTAAGGAAAAAAAATTAGTTTAACTGAAATCTGGAGCATGATTAAGCTTATGCACTTCAGAATATGACAGATCTTTTCGTTAATAAGACTAAGGATGATTTTAAGTGATATATATTGCAACCAGAAACTCAAATGTATGTTTTACCGGCCAAGTTCCAAGCTAGTTCAGACAGCACATTTAACACAGTATTCAGAAGATTCACTCATGATTTATTTTGGTTTTACATAAAGCTATGGACAGTTTTTGCACACTGAATTATTAAAATCTGTAAAGGCCAAGCAACTTTATGTACAAAATGTAATTAAACATTTGATGAAAATGTTTAAGAAAATCACACATTTACTGAAAACAAATTCTATTTGTCAAAGGACTGTGTCCCAACAACAAAAGCTTGCAAAACCTGCACAGGAAAAACAACGTTCTGTATTTGTTGCCATTAACCTCATTCCATCTTCCTTCATCTAGTTGCTTACTTTGATTTAAATTAATAATCTGTTCAGACATTATATGCAACACCAAACTATCAGAGCAGATATATCTACGCTCATTCTCGAATGTTGTCACAAAATTGTTGTAGGCTACCTAAAATGATAGCCTAAAGTATTATATGATTTAGCTGGTGCAGATGTTGCAGGAAAAAGAAATTCTCTGGCTATTGCTTTTAGGAAAAGTGTACTAGAATCTGGTTATTTCCAGACATTGCTTTAGACAGCCAAATCCTACTGCTGAATTAGTGTGAATTAGGCAATTCAAAAATGGAACAACAAAACCAAAACAATTCAAAATGATGAATGCTCCAGAGTAGACTACTGAAAATAATCATATACACATTTGTCGAAAAAATCAATCTTGCCCCTTCTGTACACACCTGCAATGGACAACAATAGGCCCTGCACTAGGAGGGTTAGATAATTTGACTCTCCGTATAAAGGAAAGCAGGCCTGTGGCATTGTAAGGAACTCCATGATCTGGCCAGCCAGTGAAATGAAACTGTTTAACTTCACGGATTTCATTGTAGCCCCTCTGAAAAAGGCAAAAAACCAAAGGTTATGACATTCAAAGTATTTCATAGACTAGATTTTATCTGACTCAAATAACGATCACACATACTGATAGAATCTAGATGCAGTTTTCATCCTTTCACTATTTAAAGCAAAGACCCACAGGAAGCTTACAGATGTTACTGGGGTTTTTTTAATTTTGAAGTTTGTATTTTTACTTTCAACATTAAGTATGCTAGTTTTGCTGCGTTAGATTTTTTTTTGTTTGTTATAGACTTAGATGCATTTTATATTGATTTTCAGAAGTTTTGCTAATTAAGACAATGGTCTGATACCTTTAAAGGCAAGTAAAATGATTTACCATAAGACCACAACTGTGTCACATATATTGCACTTCACAGAGTTTGTCCTTTGATTGAGATTGACTCAGCGGCAGTCAAAACAGAGTGAATGGAGGCGAACAGCAGGCATGACTCATAACCTGGTACTTGAGCTTAGCTCAGAAGCATGGCTATGGAGAAGAGGTGACTATCAGAGAGGGGAGGGCAGCAGTTGACGTTTCTGGGGAAATTCAATGTCCCACAGTGAGATACATGTTTGGATAGTGTTGATGCAATGCAAAACTCCCATGGTGAGGTAAGGGTGCCTATACTGTGGGCCTGCTAATGAGCCAGAGGGATTTGGTATTCTACAGGAATAGGAACATGTCAGCATAGCCTCTTTCATCCTACTTGCTACCAGGGAACAGTATTTTGCTGAGCCCTTTCAAAATGTGCTCACTGCTCACCCTTCCCAAAGTGAATGTCCTGACGACGTACTCCGCAAGGGGCTCCATCTCTACACAGGTCACTTTGAAGTCCCCATAAACTTCTGTGTCATCAGGCCAGTACTTGTAACACTTGACCTAAATACAAAATAGGTATGTATTTTACACCAATGGAAAAGAAAAGCTTGAGGATAAATGACACCACATTTATTTCCAAAATGACCATGCACTCATGTGGCTTGTCATGGCTAATGGCTGTTAAGTTAAGCACTAGCTACAAGGAGTTTCCACTGCTTTACACAGCTGTACTTAGATGCCAAATTCACTTTTAAATGAGCATTTGTATTTTTTTTTAGTGCTGAGCTATGGAATACATTTCCACTTAGGTTAAACTCGGATGTATTTTGTATCCATAATCAAACTGTTGCAAGTAATCCCAGATACTTTATAGAACTCCCTGAGGGATGTGTTACTGCTGAACTATAAATAATTTGCTGATTTCTAGCCACTGATATTGAAGCTCATTTCCTCACTAGTCCACTTACTCTCCTCATTTGAGTGACAATATGCAAATCTATATTGCTGAAATATGAATTTTTGATTTAGACAATTTTTCACTACTCATGAAAGCAACAAGGCAAACACCTTCAGAAGTCATTTTTATGCAATGCTATAATGGCAGCAATGTCTGGACTCTTGCCCCTTCCCCTCTCAGGATGTAGGATCATCCTTCACAAGACCCTTCTACATTCTGCTGATAGTGTGTCTTGTCAGCAGGTTGTTTTTTAAGCTTGCAGCATTAAAAATAAAACAAAACCAAAAACTTACTCTCCCAACTTCCACTAAATTTGTGACCATCACAACACAAGCAGATTGCTCCTGCCAAATCATTCTCCAAAAGTCATATACAGTCTCATGAACTGGACCTGTAAGAAAAAAATCCAGATAATATTCTGCAAAAAAATAATAGTCAAAGCAAGTGCTAAAAATAAAATCCAGTGGTTTTCAGAGCTGATGTACATGAGCACACTTGCTCAGAGATGAAAGCTTAGCAAAACCACATCATCGTAACATTGTGACAGTTTCCAGACTATATTGTTTTTTGTAACCAATGCTGAATCTTCTCAATTTAACTGAATTACCACTTGAAAGAAATTAATAGCAGGTGTCTCATGTACCAAAATGCCAGAAGTTGCTTGAAAACTACAAGGACACAGCAGTGTGTAACTACATCTATAGTTACACTTCCAGACCTGTTTTCCATTTGTTCAATGCAATGTGTTAAGAGTCAGTTTCTTCGGGTGCTCACCAAGATGCCCATGCCAGAGTGAAGTATCAGGCAGGAGGGCTGCTGGTACAGATACTGTGCACTTACCATCCGGATGCTGGCAAAGCTCAGAAACACAAGTAGGTGCTGAGCCGTAAACTTCCCACTGCAGTGTATATAAACTAACTTAACTACTTTTCTGTGAGGCAGATGAAGAGCACTAATTTAAGCTTTGCCTCCTGCTCTGCTGCAGAGACATGCTGAGTGACAGAGGCTTTTACAGTGATACAATAACCTTAGAAACAGCTTCCTGACAATCCAGCAGTAATATAAATATTACTGTATATAACACACATATCATAGCATTATTTAGGTTGGAAAAGGCCTTTAAGATCATTAAGTCCAACTGCAAACCTAGCACTGCTGAGCGCACCACTAAACCTAAGTGCCACATTTGAAGACTAAAACATATTCCTTCATGTTAGATCAAAGGCTGCACACAAAAACAGCAATAAATTTTTGTCTCCTTTACACACTATTATGTGCAATGATTTACATAGTAAAACAAAAAAAAAAAAAGCAAATGTAGACTTAAATACCATAGAGAGACCTATTTAGGCAGCAATTACACAAAAATTAAACACATGGACAGAACTTTGAACATTCTGCTTTAAAACAAGTCTTTATTTTGTCTTTCCTGTGTGCAGCTACAATCGACCAAGGGCACGAATAACAGGATATTTCCAGACAGCTATCTGATTATACTTAGAGATGAAATAATGGCACACCTAAATCTAATTATTTTTACTTTAATTCATATCCTCTGATATTTCAGTGCAATCTTAGACTAATCTATTTGTTTTTCCTCACTGTGAGGAAAAACATTGTTTTTTATCAGAAACACAAAATTAATAATTTCCATAGAATTTCAGTTTTTTTCTCTAACTCCCCTTTTTATTAGTAGGGTGTTACATGACAAAGATTTCCCTCACTCCTTCCTATAAAGAGGGGTCCTCTTTGTCCTCTGGACTTACTTTACCCAGATTTTCTGAGACAGAGTTTAATTTATCATTACTATCTTCACTGCATCCTGGACTAAATCCTAGACAATAAAATAATACACTGTAATATGGAAAGAAAAATGCCTCAAGGCAGGTTGAAACTGTTCTCTTCTGTCCACATCTCTTTTCTCTATTCATCTTCATAATTGGAAATCATGGTAGTAGCTTCTGACTTTATCATCTGAATTTATCACTAAAAGATTTGCTCAATAGCTAATTAACATGATAAATTAGTGCAATTTTTGAATTTATTCACATTCCACCTGAACAAAATAACCTATGTTATTTTACCATAACACAAGATGACAACTCACAATACTATGTATGCTGTATTTCCATCTACTTCCATTTTACCAAAACACTTCAGGATGCTACAGAGAACACTTGTTTGATTTGATTAAAGCTGGTAGATCCTTACCTTGGGTTGCAATGTAGTGACTTGGTCTCTGATATCCCTAAAACAGCAATATAAGTTGGTTTGAGTACCATATTACTAACAGAGAGTGGAAAATAAAAGCCTTAATTCTAGACAACATTTTCAGAACAAACCAATATTTAAGAGCAGCATGAATCTCAAAATCTAAAAAAACAATTAATATTGAAAAGGTTCGAATGACAACAGATAAAATGAAAATAAGAACATCTGACTTGAACAGACATTGTAGCGTACTGGGAAGGAGTATTCTAGATGGGTCCCCTGTGCCTAAAAATTAGTTATCTATTGACATTATTTCCCCAGCCGAATACATTGGGCCATTTACTTAAAATTTATGAAAAATTCTTTGCTACTATATTATCTCAGTAGTTGATCTGTGTTCCCAACTTAGCCAATATGAAAAAATATACACCTTTTTTCTTCTTCTAAACAGAGAATCTTTGTAAGGCACAGAGGTATATACCCCAGCTCTAACTAATGGGGACAGAGCTGGACACTGATGTGGGCACTATATCGAGGTCCTACTGCAGTGAAATGTTCTGCTTGACTGCACAAAGTGTGCATCAGTTATAGTGGGCATGATACACACAAGTATATACACATACTTGTTTATATATATATATAGATATAGATAGATATAGATATATATAGATATGTAGATGGGTAACCCTACACAACTAAGCTTTTCCAGATAGCTGGGTCTATGGTTCTAGACCCAGTACTATATAGCACTAATTGCCCACATAAAAACTACAAGACAAAGAGGTGCTGCTCTTAAGGAAATAATTCACAGTACATTTTGACCAGTGCAAGCTAGGCACTTAGCTACAAAGAGGAAGGAGAGTTCAGTATTGTTGGTGAGAAGACAATACAGAATTTCATGATGTGCAAATGTTAATAACTCCAATTTTTTTTCTAGGTTACAGTTTTATTAGGCCACTTGCTTGAAGCACTGCATTACAGGGGAGCATAAGCCCTTGGATTCCTGATATTCACAAGATACTACTAAACTGAAGGACTTCAACAAACCCAAGGAAGTTTTATTCTTTTCCACAGACTGCTTCATTATCCTGTTTAGAGAGAGAATACCTTCCTCTGGGGCTTATGAAAAAACTTCTGAGTATCTTACTCTTGGCTTTATAAGAGACCAAGATCACATCAAATGACTAAAAAATTTTTCCTGGAGTTCTTAATATCAAGCCCCAGTTTCAAATTCTGAAAGTGGAACCTGGGCTACACTGGTTTACATTCAGTAATGCTTTCCAGAAGATAGAAGTGCCACTTAAAAATTGCCAAGTACCAGTTTTAACTTGTAGCTTTCTTGTCTGGCTCTAATGAGATTCAATTCACTCCTAAATCAGAAAAACAATATTCTCAAGGAACTGGAATTCTTACAAATCTGGGAAAGTTTTCTTGTTTAAGGCCCCAGGCAAAATATCATGGGCCTATCACTTCACAGAGACTGCCTTGTTAAAATATCCAAATAAAAAGACATATATATATATATATATATATATATATAGAGCTAAATCTTTATATCCTGGAAATTCAAGGGCTCTTAAATAATTTATCAACTAACAGTGGTCAGGAAAAACTGCTAAGGTTCAATTATAAAGAAAAGTAATCAAACTCCACGTATTTGAAAAACATTTGTATTAGTTACTCCACTACCTTTCAAATTACTTTGGAATTACTTTGAATACAACATCTTGTTTATTCCTACGGTGTTAATTAGAGAAAAGTTATATGTTGTTAATCAAAGCATCTGGCAAAATTTGTACCACTTTTTTTTTAATTTATAATTTAATTTGTATTCTGATTAAAGTATGGAATTTTGAACTTTAGAGGTTTTCTGCAGAAGTGAGAAAATTTCTACTACATTAAAATATTTTTATAAAATGTGTTTGTGCATATACTTTGTAATACCTAAGTTAGCACATTAAGATAAATGACACCTAAATATTGTTTGTCTAAACCGTTGTTAAAAACAAACAACCCCCCCCCTGCAAAACCCAACCTAGCCCACAAATGTCATAATCCCTCCCTTTTTGCCAAACATACATTATGGCTACTCCACAGGTACATTTTCAGACAATTACAGTACAGCATACTATCTAGTTTCTCACATATAAATGGGAAGGGAAAAAGAAAAGCTAGTGGCGAAAATCATCACTAAAAAATGAGAACAGCAAGTTCTCTTTAATAGATAGGCTCACCTGAGTTATCTAACATCCAATAATATGCTAAAAGGCATAATTATGCTAAAAGGCTAAATTATTTTTTCAAAACAGGTACAAAAAATATTCACACAAAAAAGAAATTTTTTAAAGGAACAGATGAGGTAAATTAGATGAGGCATGCATAGTTATCAACTGATAGAAATAGAAGAGGAAAGTAATTAATAACAATATCTATATTAAATATTTACAATAGGATGCTGTTATTCACATATAGTGGTACTTACATCCCTGTACAGCCAAATCTACAGCCCAAACCAAAGTCAGATGTGAAAGAAAGCACAACAATGTCAGTGAGTACTAGGACGTAGAACAAGGAAAGTGTACATTTGTTCTTAATAAAAGAAAGCTTTCAATAAATTTGTAGGCATAGCATGCAATAATTTCACATAGAGAAGCTGGCAAATTGAGAGGGAGAAAGCTGTGCATTCCACTCACATCTATGTAGTTGGCATTAATGTAATCTGAAGATGGATCATCTTCAACAGGTTGCAAAATCACCCTGGAGTGGTCATCTGTAAAAACCAAGTGGTTACGGAGCCTTTTTGAAGTGTGATTTTTTTAAGTAAGATACTAATGGTAAGTCATCTAGAAAACCAAAATCAGCCGGCATAAGCACCTCACAATTTACAATCTTTAAATATGAAGTGTTCATACAGAATTACAAAGAACCGTTTTGTTTGAGGTCTCCAATTATTTCAAAAAACATTCACTTATTTCATTAAGTGTAGCTGAAAGGTGTTGTCACTGTTACACGTGGTTAAAAAGACACAAAGAAAAATGGTTACTTGCTCAAAGTCCCTTTCAATATCAACTCCACTGCGGGCAATCTAGAAAACCAAAAATGCTGATTACTGTTTCCTCACTTCCAACCCAAGCCTAGTCAAGTTCATATTGAGACATTAATGAAGTCAAAACATGGGGGTTAGCAATGCACTTGGGATTCGATGAAGAGGTAAGTCTACCCACTCAGACAGTTCTCTGGCACCTTGATTCCTGTGTGTTCAATAGCACTGGTAAAACAATACAAATTGCAAGTAAACAGAATCAACATCCAAATGATGTTGGTTGTTGCTGATATATGCTTACCACCGCTTGCACAACGGAGATGCAAATGCGAAATTCAGCCTGAGTTATAAAAGGAAGAAAGTTGAACTGTGAAGGACAAAAAAAAAAGCTGAAAAAGGCACTGTCCTGCTTCTCAGCTGAGGGTATTAAACAGCTATGCCACTGGAGATTTGTAAAGGAAGAGAGAACACAGCATGGGTAACACACGAGTAGAGCTATCGCTCAAACCAAGGACACCGATACTCACATGCTATAATGTTTCCATAGCGGTTCTTTGTTCTGTTTTGATCCTTCTTAGCGACATCCCAAGAAGCTGACTGCCCCTCAAAGAAACTCTATAAATAAAAATGTTCCGAAAGAAAACATTCTGACCATTAATTTATCTCCAGAAATAACAGCTTAAAAGAACTGCTCTACCATTAAGTAAGCTCAGCTTGGCTTGTCTGCCCTGGTCACCCAGGTGGTATCATGGTATATAAATATAGCTAGAGAAGAGGGAAGGCTCCCTCTGACTGCTATGAGTAAATGGGCAAGTCACTGAGGAACTCCAGAGGGATTCCAAATCCTGGAATTGCTGGAAGGCTAAACTTGCTTATACATACTTGCTATGGAGTAATGACAGCAAACTGAGAACGCACAGAGAAACTGATCACTCTTCTTACAAGACACCATAATATACAGCCTGTTTACTCCAGCATTACATCGCTGTCCACATCTTACTTAGTAAAATGGCTTTTCTTTCTACAGAGGCATCAGGAAATCTCCTCTGCCATTGTTCATTGTTCACGTTGCTTTTCCTCATATGCCTCCCTCTAGCCACTAGCAAAATTGTTCTACATTTTTGAGCTCTTAAAGAGTTTGATCTCTCAGTAGCGACAGAAGCAGCTTTTATTTCTCCTTGGCTTTTTCTTCATTGCTCGCAGATATTTTACAGCAGTTGCAGGTCTATGCTATTCCTTCCTTCCAGATGTTCTCTTATCCTGATCTGGGTAAGTTATCTCCAGAAAATACACAGTAGCCATGGAAACAGAACTTTAATGCACAGTCAGAAGCCCAAGGCAGGGAATAGATGTTGTGTATAGTAATAGAAGAAGTAGCAAGTACGAAAACACCTGATGTGGCATCAGGGACCACCCTCCCCCCAACAGTGGCTGACACTTGGCCTTAGCCCTGAAGTTAGGTAGAGCATAATGAAGTATATTTAAGTAAAAGAGAGGAAAAGAGAAAAATATTCTTTTAAAAACCACACATTTATTTATTCCAGTTCTTATGTTACAGTAGAGACAGCTGCAGAAAGGAGAGAAGGTTGAAAACTGCGTCAGAAGAGATTACTTACTCAGAGAAAACTCATTTTAAACCTAGCTGTATTGTGAGCAACCTTGGCAGTACCATTCCCATCTTTTCTGTGTGTCCTGCCTGATGTTCTAATCCCAAAGAATCACAACAGATTCAGAGATCAGAAGTGAAATTAATCTGTACTCATCTTCTACTGCCAGTGCTGGGAATTTTTTGCTTCCATTTTAACATTAAAGTTGTAAGTAGACATTCTCAGGCAGGTTTAATTAGAACTTCAAGACATTACTACCCTCAGCATGTCTTTACTGCTTCTTGGTTGGACTTAAGTCCCAGTATTGCCCTACTGAGATGCTATAATAAATCATGAAAGTGCTTCCAGTCAATGTTTCTTGTGAAACCACCCAGGTTAAAATCTTTAACCTAATCCAGGAGATCTGCACTGAAGATAGCTCACATAACTAATTACAACATTTCCACTAAAGACTAGAAACAAAAGAGTGGCAACTTCTTACAATACGTCAAAAAGATTAAGGACATGTCTTCTTATACCCTAAGGAACACACAGGGGTTTTCTACTAGTCAGTAGTAAAGGCTAAAACTATTGGACTCCATTCACTATTTCACTTTTGGTTACATATATAGGAATCTTATGTCCGTTTGTCTGTTTTTCACTTAAACCCATGACATTTAGTCCATCCTTTTGCAATACAATGCAAACAAAAGGCTGCCCATTTCAAAGGCAATTTTCCTAGCAAAGCCCCACCACTGAAGATCTCACCTCATACTCCTCTTTAAATCCATAGCTGTCAGAGGTCTTCATTAGGTTAATATGCTGCAGGAGATCAGCCACCCTGATGGCAGGGTGCAGCTGCCCAGTCTGGTAGGGGGATTCTGTGCCTTCGCAGAGGTAACGAGGGACATCCAGGAGTCGGCTGGACTCTGCTGTCGCACTGTGATTTTCATCTGTATTCACAAGAAATCAAAGCATTAGGTACCTGCAGAGCAATAACAGCTGCTGCTATACATATCAATATCTATTTTCAACCTCTTCCTTCAAAAACATATCTAATTTCTGAGAACGCAAAGCACTTACTCTCCAGCACATAAATACTGTGAAGTACATAAAAGAATTTAACAGCAAACTCATATGAAAGTTTGCAGTCCTTCATCCCACAATAAAGATGTCTAAAGGGTATTTTATTTGAAGCTACAAAACTTTATGACATTAATGTACTTGGAAACTCCAGACTCTATCACCCAAAGTAACTTTTTGATGGATAATATGTATCCAGAGCAATACTACACCCTAAACAATAAATTAGAATAATTCTATAGTGATATCAGCACATAATTTGTCTAAAACCAACAAACAGTTGAGATCCCAGTTAAAAAAAAAGCAATTATGCCACGATTCAGAACACCACCTCCACTTAGGAAGATGAATCAGCACTTCAGAGTGGTCATTTTAACTCAGGTCTTTTAGCAGAGAAATGAAATTGTTGAGCGTGCTGATTTCATCCACAATTTTTGCTCTGTATAAACAAAGAAGTTTCTTCTAATGCTCTGTGCTAACTAATCTTCATATCAAAACCAAACATCAAAGATGCATGAGGTGATCGCATTTTGTCAATCCCTTTTGTGAAATAGTTATTTTATTTAAATTAGCAATCATCAGATCAAATGAATTTGCAGAGGAAGAAAAATTCAAATTTAAACCTTTTTGGAAAACAGCTACTGAAACGAGAAGTGGGTAGCTGACCCCTCCCAAACTTAGAAATCTGTTTACCATTTTTCTTGCAAAGGATCCAGATTAGAAGGCAAAACACTCTAGGAAAAAAAAATGAACACCTCGAGGGTTGTATTTTCTACAATTGTGCCAAAATGCAAACCCTGTTAATGCCTTCTGAAATGAAATCTCCTAAGAAACCTGATTTTTTGAACTGTCACAGAAGCTGCTAATTTCAGTACATTTATGCCTCACTAACCTGCTTAATAATGTGAGTGACATGCAGCAGTCACTTTTTATTGCAGTGTTACCCCTATTAAATTGCACACATTTCAAACCACCTCAGGATTTGCAGTTCTCCCCATTCCTTGCAGTATACTTACCAGTAATAGGCACTTTAACCCATTGAAGCAGCAAAAAACAATGAGTGAACAGAACATAAGAAATTTATTTCAGGACTATAATAGAAAATGACTAAAAGAAAGTGACATTAAAAGTTGTTAAAGCTTCACAATAGGTAACAATGAAAGCCATTTAAAAAATATAAGGGCCACATTATTATGCCATCACTGTAATGATAGGGACTTGAGAAAAGCAAAATTGTCATACTAACTTAGTGCTAACGTACACAGAATGGAGAGTAGCATTAATAACCTATACAAGAAGAAAAAGAAATCTAGTATAGCTACAAAGTAATAAGAGTTTCATATAAAAGAACGTGTTCTATGATTTAGAAAATTTTGCTTATCTGTAAATAAAAGCAGAAGTAAACTGTTTTGTGACACTGGGCCAAGCAAGGGTTATATGGAGTAGGCCAAATGATCCAGTTCCAAAGGAACAAGTTTACAGGTACCCAGCCTCTTTTACATGGTGTGTCCAAAAGCTTGTACACTTCCCTCCCACTATTTCAGTCCACTCAATGAAAAATATTATCTCTTTTAACTTTCATTGTTTTGCTTATACCAGGAGACCATCGTGCCCAGAATAGCATTACTACTAGATGGAAATGCAGATGGGAACTATTAAACTCTTCTTCAGTAAGTTCCTCGCCCTTGCTGTTCACAATTGTCTGTATCTGTGTCTGCCACAGCAGAAAATACCCTGACAGTATGGGTATTTTCTTATACGAGTGGTAAGGTACCACAAGCATTTCACAAGCATGGGATCAGATTTCAAAGTTATCTTGATTATTTGGGAGACAATGAGAAAATCAACAAGGTGAATTGAATGGTGAATGTACCACAGTGTGTGTATTGGAAAGGGAAGTCAAATATAAAACTACAGAATGGAGCAATGGACTGGCTAATGATAACTGTGATTTTAACAGGTAACTCAATGCAAGTCAGCAACATGAGCACAATAAAAAGGAGAAAATACAGTTCGGATAGCAGGAAAAATGCAAGTAGGATATGGGGGTACCTATACCACTCAGCTCAGCACTGAGACTTCTTCTGCGAACTGTACCTGATTTGAGGCACTGCAATTTAAAATTCAACCTATGAGTTGGAAAGCGTTGAGAGGAAAATAATGACAATAAATTTAGAAAACATCAGCTACAAGATGATGAGTGAAAGAACTGGGTTTAACTCAACTCTAAGAGAGACAGTTCAGGACATGTGAGCCTTTCAATGGGAAAAAGACTGTTTTGAAAGGACAGAAGCATGAGTCCTATGAGTCCCTCAAAAGGAAATGGCTCAATCCACAGCAATGATTAGCCTAGTTAGGAAATACTAGGGGTAAGTATTAATAATACTTAGTAGTAGCACTCAGTAATTAATACCCAGAAAATTGAGCTTTGGATCCCAAATTTTACTAACATGAATCTGAATTTTATTTTTACCTAAGAGGAGTGAGGCACTGGAACATGCCACTGCAAGAGCAAAATTCTGTTCACTCCAAATGTTTAAAACACAATGAGGCAATCAATTGCCAGAAAGAGTCTATATTTTATGTATAATGTCCCATCTCAAAGCACAGGAGGGATTAAATTGCCCCCAGGCTCCTTTAAGTGCTACTTCTAGGAATCTAATTTTCAACTTGTTTATATTCACGCCCATTTCCTGATATTTGTCTTTTAGCCTAAAATAACCTCAGCAACTGACTGAAACTCAATACTGCACATTGTGTTTATCCAACCAAGAACTTGGGTACAAATTATACTTTTCACTTCGTATTTAAAAAAAAAAAAATCAAAAAAATCAGTGACTCTAAAACCTGCATTCAGTGTTAGATGCAGCAGACATAAGAAGTCTGGACATTCTTTCTGAAGTAAGTAAAAAGCTGAAAAATTTACTAGCTAATGTCAACTGAAATGTGTAATTAATATAGGTATACAGAAGTATTTGTTCATAACATACACAGAAAGCTGTTGTTTCTTCTTGGATACTCTGGAATTTTCTCTTTTCTATTTTTCTTATTCTTGTTACTTAGAAAATTGAACTTTTGGTGGTGAATAATGCTAATATGGACCTGAATTTTATTTTTAAGGCTCTCTTAATAGAGCTCTAGTTTCACATGTCAGTTTATCGGAACTCAGTTTCAAAGCTCTGGGAAAAGAAATTTTAGTATTTTCCATTTACCTATTTCCTCATTTACTCTTCAGTTAGCAGTGACTAAGAATAAAATCTTAATGAGAATATAAAATAGTTTTCATTCTAAAATTGTTGCCAGTTTAATTCTGAATTGATGAACTGAGTGTAGAGTTATTTTCTGAAAACAGGATAGTTTTACATAAAACAAGCTGTTTCAACGTTCAACCATGCAAGGAGACAAAACTCATGCAGGAATGGATAACGAAGGACTGGGGTCCTCACCTAACACAGCTGTCGGCACAAGTGGATCATTGGGCACTGTAGAAAAACAAAGCCCATGAAGAAACACATTACCCTCAATTTGTGTATTTTTAAGAGTAAAAACAATATACTTCAGAGTATAAGCAACTGATAACTAAACCCCACTAATTTTATTACAAGAGAAAACCAAAATGAATATGCAGTTCCAGAAAGCATCCTGAATAAAAGAGGAATGAAAGGCAGCGATTTTGGACTTCAGAAATGTAATAATAAGGGCAAAGAGATTCTTAGTGAAATGAAATAAAGAAGACATTACATGCAATTTAGTTTTTGAAAGGGCTCCTCCTTCACTATTGTTCTTTCACTTCACAATAAAGGTTCACTTTCATAGAACTGCTTCTTTCCTTTTAAACCCATTCTCTCATATAATACTTCAATAGCTCATCTCAAAATAAAATGGTATTTCTATAAAATCTTCCAGGTAATTAAAAAAAATTTCATACATTTTTACAGTTAATAGCTTTTTAAATGCGCAATACCAAAGATACTGCTCTTAATGAGTATAGGAAAATCACAGATACACCGATACAGATGTCTGAATAAAATTCATAGAATTTCATTATCACAACTAGAATCACGCACTCGACAAATGTGCTGTTTTGGACAGAAATGGTGGAATCCAGGATTTGGTTTCGTTCCAACTTGGAACATGAAATTAGAATATCAACGTCTCTGTGACAAAATTAAGCTCCAGTTCTCAAGCAATCTGCCTAAATGTTTGTCACATAGCAGGAAACCCTGAAAGCTTGGAAGACTCATCTCAGCACAGACAATGGTCAGGAGAAATGAATCCTCCAACACAGAAAAAAATCACATACCTAGGATGCTAGAAACCAGCAATGCCCAACTTCTTTGCCAACCAACCAGGACGGCTGTGGTGGCTGGAGCTCATGGGCTCTTGGCATTGCATCACTCCATCTGGAAGGCTGCCTGAGTGCCTGGCAGTCCCAGCTCACCAATAGCCATGTAAATTCCTGATGAATTCTTTGCCTGGGATCCACCATCAAAGCCCATATCAAACTGCCTCTGCTCTTCCTGCCTCCACAAATTTCAGTGCCAATAAGACATCAAACTTTGGAGATTTTTCAAACTGTTCCAGCCAAAACTGTGTAGAAAAACTACCAGGCTGATACTAAACTCTCATTTATAATTGGTTATGGGACACTTAAAATGTTAGCACTTTGCAGTTTGGTAAGCTTCAATAAATCCAGCAATAAACCCTCCTCCAAAATCCATTTCCCTTACAACAACCAGGAAAGAACTTAAGAGTCTTAAGGGATGTATTTTGTTCATGCATGGTAAGCAGTATGGGAGGCAAGAGAAAAGAGATGCAGTGCCATTTCCAAAAGATTCCAATTCAGAAGCAGCTCAGGCTGCTCAGATCTGTTTAAAGCCAAGCCACAAGTCCATGGAGCTGTGAGGAGGTCAGGTTCCCACCAGCTCCATGACAGAATTGCGTCCCCTTGGAAACTTATACACTATTTTGATATATTCATAGTCTGCCAGTGGAGGATCTCGCTTTTGTGAAAGGCATAGTGCAGATGCTGGGAGGCAAGAGTGCTGGACAGTGGTAGCCATAACCCAGACACTTAGCAGACACCCAAACTGCCAGACAGATGGCAAGTCTACAAAAAATGAATACAAATATAGAAAAAATTTGCAGATATATTAGCAAGCTTGTTCGTAAACTTCACAAACAACAATGAAAATTGTCAATGTTTCCTTCTGTTATAATGTTTTTACTGCCAAAAAACCAATAGAAATTAATTTGGACCTCATATTATTATTCTATACATGGTTTACACAGTAATATTTAACATGTTGTCATTAAATACCTTAATGAGGAAAAACTCAGTTTCAGATTTTAACTGAGATATTCTAGAAGTAGAATATTTTCCCTAAAACAAAAATCATTGCATAGTGAAAGTACTTGCAGATATTTAATTAAATAATTGGCCACATAACAATAAGGATAACATATGGACTGCCCTATTTAACCTTTGGCTTTATCAGTGTTCCTGGAAAACCTGGAGCTTAAAACCATTTTTCTTATAAAGTAGAATTGTTTTCTGTGTTTCTATATTCACCTACGCTACATAGACGATATCACTGTCTACTTACATCTGGGGCTGAAGTTATGTGAGTCCATAAATGTGATTGAAAGGGGATCCTCTGCATGCAGTGTGCTCTGGTCAGCGTAACTCCTATCCATTGCATTCACCATGTGGGTCATCTCCTGGCGGGTTGTTCCCATGGCATCCTTGCGCTTCTTTGCAAGTTTGCTGCCCAGCCAAGAAAAAAAACGCAAACGATCTTAATATTTGATGAACGTTGATGTCTACAGTAATCATTATCTATAATCCTGAATGACTCAAAAGTTTGGCTGATTTCCTTGTGTACAACTTTTTCAGCATGTAGTTGATAAACTATGCACCCTGCTATGAAACAGTGATGATCATATCTTTTCTGTACACACACAAATGCTGTAATGGAAATGCTTACTTCTGTACCCTGGTAATATTTTTTTTTTCCTGTGGAGTAATTACACTAATATAAACAAATTAGAGAATATAATTACATTTTAACTGAAATGACAAATAAGAAGCATCTGTGCATGCAGTTTTATCAACCATCTCTGTTTAAATATCTGTTTTGATTTTATAAATGGATAATTCATTCCCCTTGCCTGCGTTGTTGGGAAAAAAATCATTTAACCTTCTAAATTACTTTGTTAGTAAAAAACCCAATGAAATAACAAAAGAAACATAATTATTCAATATACATTATTATTACCTTTTACACTGCCCATTGTACACTGCCCACTTACCTTGTACACTGCCCATTCAGTGTACAAGATACAACATGATAGCACATTTTGTTGCTGATACTGAACTTTGGTTCTTTGAAGAACAAAACCACCCTCATCATTCTACTTTTTCATGCAGTTTGGGAACATCACAATTTTGACATTCACAGTCTTACACTCTGAATGTATCACAGTTAAAGAGTAACCTAATCTGTACAACTAAACCCCTCAAATTAACAGCCAATGCCCTTAAAGTGCACACCTCAGAAATACCTTTCAATTCTTCCCTTTTGATAAAGAACTGGAAGTGATTTGCACTGTCTCCAGAAGTCAAAAGGAAGCAAATAATATATTTTAATTATAACTTAAAGCCTACTACACTTAAAGCATGTATCTCAAGTAGCAGAGAGCATGCAGACTAGCATGAAGTGCACCTTGGTTCTGCAGGAACCAGTAACTTACATTAGGCTATTCTGAAACCTCCCTGTTTTCATCTGAAGCTGTGACTGCAATATAATAGATAGCCAACCTGCTTATTTGGATAACTCTGACACCACATGGGAGAGACACAATCATCACATAAGGTACTGAGTTCTTAAAAATGAATATTTCACACACAGCTTAGCTTCCTAAGTTTCTTCTGCACAGAATATCATGAAACACCCTGTTAATTGTTTAGACAGTGTTTATCTTACATTTCTCTTGGCTTAATAGGATTGCTTGCTCTTCCTCTATTCTCTGCCAACTTTTAATATTCCATGCACATTCTAACACCAGACAAGAATTATATTAGATATTTATTACATATCAGAAGATGAGATATTAAGAAGAAATTCTTTACTATAAGGCTGATAAGACAGTGGCACACATTGCCCAAAGAGGCTGTGGACTTCACCTCCCTAAATGTTTTCAAGGCCAGGCTGGATGGGGCTCTGAGTTACCTGGTCTGGTGGAAGGCATCCCTGGCAGGGGTATTGGAACTTGATGATCTCTAGGGTCCCTTCCAACCCAAACCATTCCATGACTCTATGAAGAATATTGGTATAAACTAACCATCTATTTACTTGTTAAGTCTTGGGAACATCCACCAGAGAGGACCTACACTTCTCTCGAGGGCAAGAAGTACTTCATGCTTATGCTTATTTAAGAAAATGTTACTTAGTTAACAGTCTTGATTCATGATGAGGGAATACAATGTAGAATATGGATGGACAAAGCTCTCCTGCAAACAATAAAGATTCTTCCAACAATCAGACTCATCTCCTTATTTTGTCACACTTCCCCCCCACCCCTTCTTTTTCCCATTTACAGATGGAGTAGTTGGAAAATTACTACTCATTAACACTCTCACTACAAAAATCCCAAAGGTGTTCTCTAAACCCATCATTTTTTCATCAACTCTTGTGGCTTACATAAGGGTTCTGTATCAGTTGTTCAGTGAAAAATAAAAAATCTGTTAGATGTCCCCCATAAAATGCTTTATTTCATACAATTACTCCACACCTTCCTATTAATTTAAGAGAAGCTGACTTAAATTATATTCTGGTTGAAAAATGAAGACCATAAGAACTTCCAAATTTGAAACTGCTTGAGCTTTATAACTCTTTCAAAATACTATCAAAGCTTTCTCAAAACTAGCATTTCTAGTTCAAACTGGTTTTTTTTAAGTTTCAAAGCCTTTCAAATAGTCTCTGTACACTGAAGATCACCCTTTTCTAATGTCACCTCAGAAATGGAACAAAAAGACTATTACATCTCATCTCTCAGCGATATTAAGCTTTTCTTTGAAGCATCACTTTGTAACAAAACCTGCTAGCTATGATAAATAAATCAACGGCTATTATGGCTTTCATGTTATTAGCTTATTACAGTAGCTACTTTCTAATTCTTATGCTCTGCTTCAACACCTAAAAAGGCCTATTGTGTTGTAGCACTGCAACTGCTTCTCAAAACTGCTGGGAAATGGGAGGACAGCTTTATTGTTCAACAGCTCCTGGTGCCCTTGGAGTTTGATGACTTCTTTTGCCTTTCATTTCCTTTTTTGTCCTTCACTCACTCAGCTAAAGGCACATGAAATCTGTACTTCATGACAGTTAAGCAAATCATTAGGTTAAAGAACTTGAGGCTAACAGAAAGCATAAATGATTCTCATTATCTGCTAAAGGATCCAGTTGGATCCTGCATAGGTGGGTGCTACAGTGGTTGGAGGGGAAAAGTGTTTCATCATAGGATGAAACTGTGTGGATAATTATCTTGAGTTGAAGCAATTGTTATTTAACAAGGAAATTATAATTTGTCACAATAAACCAGAGAATGGCAGCTGGCTAAACCACTTTAGCTTTTTTAAAAATTATTATAATTTTAAAGTTTGTTTAAAGAAGTCAATTAATCTGCTTAAAATTGTGGAAGAGCACCACTGTTGGATACCACCAGTTCATCAAAGCACTTGAATGCATTCTTAGAACCCCTCTGAATTCAACAGCTTTATGCATTTATTTAAAATGAAGAATGCATGTAACTGCTTGGCTCAATCACAGACAAAACCTCATATGGTGAATATGTATAGAAAAAGTCAATTTTGCTTCAATGAAGTACAGCTTTATACAAACCAATGTCAAAAGTAAGATCCACACTTTAAAATATGTATGCAAATCACCTCAAAAGTGATAGATGCAAATCATGACCTATTTATAAAGGTTTGGCATCTCCCTACAACCTGCATAGGAAAAGTGGTGCACAAGATCACTCCTGAACTGATATGCTGAGAAAGTAGAATCTGTGATTTACAAACACAGTTCTCTGGCTAGCAAATGGGAAAGGAAGTTTTTTCCTTAGTGTGACGTGTTGCTGTGAATCATAATGCAAATTAAATTATGATTACAATAAACTAAAATGGTATTGGGAAAAACTGTAGAAAAAAGCTATAGTCTCAATATACAGTCAGAAATACAATATCCCTTTAAAAAAAACAAACAGAGCAAGAATGACAGGAACAATGATACAAGCAATTTTTCAAGCCTGAGAATAATGAAAGGTAACTATCAAAAAAAACTTAAAAAAAATTATAGAGACTGTTTTTATTTTTTAAAAAGGGATACTGCATCTTTAAAACATGTAAAATAGTAAGTCACCCGTATTCTACTTACAGATAGTAGGAGTAAGAATAGTAGCTCCTCCTGGCAAGCAAATCACAGACAGTGGAAAAAGAGAAGCAATGGTGAATGAAAAGCATGACTCTGTCACATTCAATAAAGCAGAGAAATGTGCGTTTAAAAAAAAAAAAGTTGAAAAATTCATGTTTCTTTGGTTAGCATTTCAACTTGCTCATGCACAAACTAGCCTTACTTTGCCATGCAATTAAAAAAAAAAACCAACAAAAAAACCACTAGCATATAAAAATGATTTTTTAGAGAGATCATTTGAGAAAATTACATGCTGAGATTTCACTTATTGCCAAAAATTTGAAAATTAAATGGATTGTGTAATTTCAACATGCAGTTCAGCATAATATAATGATTACCGCCTAGATGTCATGACAAATGAACAGCTGTGTACAAATCTTGTGCAGTAGATACGCTTTTTACTTTTCAGTCAGAAAAAATAAAGGTTCCATTAATAAATGCATTTAATCAGAAAACAATTTCATGTAATTCATTTTAACATCTTTATCAGTACACAGGTGTATACATATATGTTTGTATGCGTACTATGTGTAGCTATATGAGTACACACATTTTAAAGAATGCACGTTTACAACAGACATGTGTATACTGACATATATACCACACATTTCCTGAATGCAAACATATGCTTTCTATTTTAAAATCTTAAAATTGGAAATGCTGATGTAGTCATGCTAAGCATTAAAAACATGGAAGGTAAACAAATGGAAGGAAATGAAGGACATTTGAAAATAGTCCAACAATGACTTTGAAAATAAAAATGGCATTGCTTGTTAAAGATGCAGTATCCCTTTTCTTAGCTGGTTTGATTACTCCAGTAAAAGTCTGTAAAAGCTGTTAAGAGCTTCATTCAGGAAAACTTCAAACCAATTTGTACAAAACGATCAGGCAAAGCCTAAAACATCTCAAGCTCATGAACAAAACTGCTTAGTACTCCATTTTCCAATAAAATGTAATGCTGCATTTAATCAGTTTGAGATAGCGCTGGCTGTGCATACAACTTAATAAACCAATGAAAATGCAGAAACCATTGTTTTATTGACTTTTCCATCTAATAAGCTGTGGTCAATTCAGGTATCAAAAGGGATACTACATAATGGATCACTGAATAGGTACACTACAGAGGATGATTCGACGGATCAGTTTTCAGTCCCACCACAGCTAAGTGAAGTGTGTTTTTGTTTGTGTGAATGTGTCAGAGTTTTTACAGCTGTTCCTGCCTTCATGATGTGAATTGCCCTGATTCACTAAATGGACTGAATTAACTCAGGAACACAAAGTTTTTCTATGCTATTTGTAAGAGACCTTGACTAAAGCTGGTATTAAAAAAAGTGCCCATTTTCCCTAAGGGAAGAAGGGGAGAAGAATGGCACACCTATAACATACATAGTAGACAACCAATTAAACTATCATGATGAAAAATCGCCAATCATTAAAGATTCATTAAGCAGGTTAATTTCTCACCTATTTTGAATACAAAATAGTACAGGAGTTTAGAAATATTATGTGCTTTAGAATGATGATTGTTCCTAAGAGGATACTGCTTTCACAGGTTCAGAGGAGGGAAGGGGGGAAAAGGGGAAAACTTTAAAATATCACTTCATGGACATAATTGACTTATTTTCATAGAAAAATTCAATAGTGAAAGGACTCGGAATGCAAGAGGTAAAAAGGATAGGAAAAAAGAACACATGGAATTTTTTTGTTTGTTTGTTACCTGCAAAACTAGTCAATCCCCATCTGGAAGTGACTGACACTATATAGTGTTAGACAATCTCTCTCTCTCTTACACACACATGCACACACACTGAGTTTTCAATTAAACATAAGGGGACCACTGTAACACGCACTAGACGATACTCCCCAGCACATACCTTGCTATAAAACTGCAAAATAGAGATTGCCTCCTAGAAGCTGAAAAACAACTTCGTTTTTGTTTTTCAGAAGTTGTGTAAATAAAGAAAACTTGCTGACTGTATGTTTTTTTGCATATGATGAGTTGGACCTTTTGCATATGTGTTAACTCTCAACCACAGAGGTAAACAACAGAGAAAAGTAAAAGCACTTTTGGGAAAAATCACATATGTAGCTAACTAACACAGAACACTATAAGCATACCTAATGTTTCTAATGCAGACGTTTCTTCTCCAAGTTATATATCTCCAGGGATAATTGTAAAAAGGCAATAAATTAAAAAAATCTAATGCAAACCAGTAGTTATAACATATAGAATGATCTTAGGTACAATTTTAATCTTTTTCTTAATCTTTAAAAATAATACCAAGCTGCATTTCAGAGGAATATGTGCAACATTTACAAAAATACTTTTCATTACGACTTCTGCAAAAGGAAAGGGCACACAACACACACACCATGGAGAGGCAAAGGGCTTGTTCTATCCAAGAGAAATCAGCTTGTGCCACATGAAGAGGACCCACCAGAGAGGGAATGCACAGAGAGAGAGGAACTAGTTTCTGTACCATAACTACAGATTTATAGGACATATTATGGACTTTTATGCCAGGTTAAAAGAGTTGCAACTACTGAGAAGGCTAGACTTTGAAACACTGACCAAGCAATAGGACCAAGCAATAAGTTACTACAGGTAGGATTGGGATGCAGGGTTAGGCTGTACAACGCCAGAAGATGGCGATATTGCTTACTTTCTAAGAAAGCACTGGGAAAAAATTAAAATTCGAATTAATACACTTTTAAACAATTTCATGCACTAGGGACTCACTAGATAATTTTACAGTGATGTAGTATGACTTTTAAGAAAAAACTTCACGTTTATAAAAGCATAAATAGAGGTATAAAATTACATTATTTTGCAAGTTGTGTAACATACAGATACAAATAACTTATTAGAGCCGCATATAGAAAATCATATTCATTATGTGATTAAAACATGAAAAGTGCAGTAAGTTATTATTTTTTTCTTTGCTTTAAAAAATAAAATAGGCTCCATGAATTTTAATTCCACCCACTTTAATATTCTCTACATTCCTCCAACTCCAACTTAAAACTACTTGGAAATAAAAAAGTATGAGAAAATGTATAGCTATTGGATCCCAAATATAAAGAACTCTTCTCTTTAAATACATCCTAAGAATCACAGCAAAACCAAAAGGAAACACAAAGAACTCATCCAAAATCTGATGTGACCTACTGGTCCTAAAACCTTTTTTTTTTTTTAAGACCTGTAAAAAACACTCATTTAGTTATTATTTGATATGGATGAAAAAAAAAGACCGATCAGCACAGACCATTTTCTTACCTCTTTTTGACTATCAATATGACAACAAGGAGAAGTAGGATGAATACCAGAATTCCAGCACTTATTCCTGCTATTTTCACCACCCGATCTGTTTGTTTAGCTGGATCTGGAATCACTTCAGGTTCTTCTGTTGCTGCTGCTAAATGAATCAATAAAAGAAATTACTTGAATGTATAAGCACTAGAGACAAGAAAATAATTGTTGGTGATGATTTTCAAATATGTGTGTCTTAATACAGTAGTTAAAATATAGATACATGCATCATGTGTTTAAACATCTATATATGTGTACATAGACACACTATAAATTTCAATATATATGCCACACATTTGCAACACCAAGTATACAAGCAGTGTTTATTAAACACTCTTTTCCAAGCCACAGTCTGCACCCTAAACTGTAGCACTTCTCCCCTTCACCCAGTTCCAGTCCACCTTTGTGTATTAATTCAGCTTGCAGCATCTGGTCTGAGATCTGCATGCTACTGGGAATTTTAATTCTCTAAATAAGGTCATCCACAAAGCCAAGACTAAAGTCAGCAGTAGTTTTATTTCTGTTTATAGACCCTGAAAAAACCCCCACAAACTGCTGTTCTACCGAGAGTTGAAACCATTCCATAACACATCTGAGTGGGCTGAGGCTACAGGTTACAGCAGAGAAAAAAACAGAATATACATGAAAGTGCACAGCCATTCAGTCTGCATCTCTTTGCATAACAGCCTGGTATACAAAAGATCAGGAACATAGTCTTTTCCACCTTGATAAAAATATAAAAAAATACAAATCAGTTTCAGCCAAGGGTAAAATCCCATGAGATGTTTACTTGTGGAATAGGAAATGGCTCTCCTGTTCTCTAGTTCTTACTTTCTAAGGCTGTGGCCTTTTGTCTACTCACAGGCATGAAATGGTATGTGTGCTTGCTCTCCCTCTGACCCTTCTCTCACTCTCCACCCAGCATGCAGCAGATGCCACTTAACCTCTCCACTCACAGCAGCTGCATGTGGAATAGGTACAAACTGTTGGTATCACTGTGTCTATGGCATTACACAGAAAATCTCCTTTACTCTGAAACTAGGATGCTTCTCAACAGGTCACCAAAAGAAGCAGAATGAAAAATGAGGTGAAATAGTATACTACTCCTCTGCTTAAAAACTGCTCCATAGCCCTTTCAGAAAGCCAGTGTAGTCAGTACCAGGGAAATTGCTATCTAATACTTTCTGGTTTTAACCATGTTACTTAGACTGTTTCTGTTCAGGTTCCATGTACAGGAACCTGTATTAACTTTTGAGGGAAGGATTATGCTGTCATTTAAAATCAGTCTTTATTACTTGTTTCTGTAACTTTCATCTCAGCCGTATCTGAACCACTTACAACTTACCCTCAGATCAACCCTCTGAGTTAGGAACGTGCTCTCTTCCAGACACCCATGCAAGAGCTAGACAGACAGTAAGAGACCTGGCAGTGCTTTAATCATAAAACTTAATCATCATCATAAGACTTCATCATCATAATCGTCTCTCTCACCTACAGCTTGAACTCTATCTGCTAAGAAATACTAAATGCTTCCTCCTCTGTGTAAATACATGCCTGCATGCACACTTGCATACATAACCTGTGTGGACTCAATTCTATATATATTGTTTGTATTATATGTTTGTTGAGGTGTCTTGGGTAAGAGTCAGGATTGGGTAAGTGGCGTGTGAATATGTAGCTGCATTCACACAACACATACACACAAGCTAAAATTAATGTTAGATACGCATAGGATGCTGTCTAACAGAGGAAATGAGGGGCATGACTTCTGAGGTGGAACTGGAAGATGAAGGTATTCAACATTCTCAGTGCTTAAAATGAATCACCTCCCAGTCCAATATTAGCTGGGCTGGATGTGACAAATGCAAATCAACATTTGATAAGCAGTAGAGCCAAAAGGCCAATCAGAAGAGTCAAAAGACCAATCAAAGCTAAATATAAATGCCTTTATATGCCAATGGGGAAAAAAAGTCATGTTTGCTGTAAGGGGTACCGAGAAACAGCAAGGACTTGGGAAGGGTAAAGAGGGAGCATGCAGGAGTGGGATAGTCGCTCTGTCTGGAATTGCAAATGTGAGCACAGCTGGGCAAAGGTAAGACCTAGTAAAGGTAAGAACTACTCAAGCTGCAAAATAACTAAGGCTGGAGCAAGAGATTTAGCTGTATGGATGGAAATTTAAGGCCAGGTCTTTGACAGATTTCAAATTATGAACCAGAGGGATTATATGTGACCTGAAGTTACACTTTAAAACTTGAAGGCTCAAAAATACATCCAGCAGTACAGCCTTGATCAGGACAGTGGTATTTTCACAGGAGTATTAGTGATGAGAGAGTAGAGAGGAAAGAATAACAGCCCCGTTTCACACCTCTCAGAAGAAAGACAGGACCCTTATAACTTGATAGAGCAAGGTTCAATATAGGTGCTTCTCACAGTCATGTTTAAAATTATTGCATGGTCACATACAATGTTATTTCATTCAGAAAAGTTACTTTAGAGAAAGAACAATAGACATCTCAGAAAAACTGAAGAAAAGGTTACTGAGGAAGTTTACTTATTTGGTTAACTTAAGCACAGGTGTTTTATTATATAGTGTGTAAGAAATGACTGGGTTTGGATCATCAATAACTTCAAAATGAAGTTCTCTGTCAAGTTTGTAGAACAACAGTGGAAGGCCAGGAGGATATCAACTACTTGTCCATTTGTTCCGGTTTCCTTACATTAAAGGGTTTGAAGTAAGAGACAGTAATTAATTCCATGAACTTTAAGGCTGCTTATGAGATAAAGTTTGTGCCCACTAGAAATGTACCACAGAGTTCTAAATTAATTGAGAAAAATTATATTTAATAGTTATAGACTAAGCAAGTGTATAACCAGTGAATGAGACTGCTATACCCAAAATGCTAAAATCTACTGGCAGAACAATACCTCTCTCCCCAATATCAACTGAAAGATTGCTTTGGACTTAAATGAAACCAGGCTTATTATATACATGTTTCCAGCAACAGACAATATATGCATTCTCTAGACTAAATGTTACATTTGGGGACTATATGAAAGCAATCATAGATATAAATCACACTGTAATCTATGCTTTATGTGTATGGGCAATGCATGCAATGGAGTATATTATTTTGAGGAAGCTATTGAATGTAACATAGAATGATTTAATGGAACTTAAAAATTGGAAAGTATTTCATATTACTTGTGTTTTAATTGTGACAGCTCAAAGTGTATTGCAATAAGCATGTGCGAACTTACACATGCACAGACAAAGGACAAAATCAGAGAAACCTTGTGCCTATGTGTTAAACCTACATGTATGAATGAGTGTCTCCTGGCTGTTGATTGCAGAAGGACTACAGCAGCAAGAGAACTTCTGCTTACTCTGAGAATTTGCTTTCTCTACCCTCTACAAGATTACGGGGGTTTAGTTCTCTGAAGTGGCTCTTCTGTAGGCTGAACTGGTTTTGTCAAAGTAACTCAACTAACCAAGGCTTCATCAAGGACAAATCTTGCCTAACCAACCCAGCAGCTTTCTATGATGGTGTGACTACATCAGTGGACAAGGGAAGAACTACAGATGTCATCTGTCTGTAAGCCTTTGACATGGTCCATGACAACATCCTAACACAACGTCTCTAAATTGGAGAGATACAGTAATTAAAAATGGAATTATTTAGATAATTGGAGTTAACTAGTGTATATTTCTAAACAAGGTAAAAATGGTCTAAAATTATTTAAGTTACAAAGACATCTGCTTTACTAATTTCTGATGTTCATTTTTAGTAATGTAGTCCTGCAATCCTCTCTTACATATCGAACAGCAGATCGTATTCAAAGGTAATTTACAGAAAGATGGTCATATAAAAATGCATGCTCTCTTTGCTATTAATTCCTTTGGCCAACCTTACTCTAATAGACCTTAAATTTAGTGTTAATTTTTACAATATCTTTGTCTTGCACATTACTGTTTTTCGCAATTTGATCCTCTGAGATAATTCTGCAGTTTCAACCAGTGCAAACTCATCTTCCATAAAATTTGCAAGAGTTTCTGCCCTGAAACAGAGAGTTAGCTACATTTTTTTCCCTGTACAAAAATGGCTGCCTAAAGTGAAGATTTATGAGATAGACTGGGAGGAGAACAACTTCTCTACTTGCCTTTCTTCTGAACTAATGAACAGTAACAGCAATCACATTCCACAGTTCCATTCACAAAGTTCATAAAATAACTTGACCCAGTGATTGTGGCTCTGCACATAGCCAGTAATAGTCACCGTATAAGAAGTCATTCTACTTGTTTTCATAGATACTAAAGGAGAATATTCAGTCAGTTGCATGAAGCTCAACTGTGAACAGGACTAAATCAGACTAGCATCACTAACTCTCTCAGGGACAGTAAAATTCTAAACAGTTGATGAGGTACAGTTCATCTCACAATTTCCTGATGTACTTGATTCCTCTAATTTTTTTTAACATATTTTTAATTAATCACACCAAAAAATCCAATACCCACTTCTAAAATTGAGCATATGCATAGTATTTACACTTAATTCTTGATGTATACTGTTGCATAAGGAATCCAGTCACAGCATATATTGCTTTCCTGTCTTCTCCTTCCTTCTGTGGTTCAAAATTTACACACAGCCTTGCAAAATTGTCAGAGAATTTATGACACTCAGCACAAAATCTATTCACCTATCCCTTCCTCAGGAGACGGTGGAGGAATCAAGATAATGATATTCTACTCGTTCACCCAAACACAATTATTCAAGCAGAAAATTCTAGTAGGGTTTTGCAGAGCTGCTTGCATGGTACCACTTAAAGAACAGCCAGCCTTCTAAAAGACAGCTTTAAATCAGAGGTTTCGAACAAGGTTTTTATACTTAACTTCTCACCATACCATTTGACTCTCTTAGCATTCACAGCATTTTATGCTGGGTTTCCTTTGTGTGAGCAAGAGAAGAAACTCAGTTTTATGCATGATTAAAGCTGCTATTTTATTACACTGCATTTTCTTTGAATGTTAATTTCTGTTTATGGCAGATCTTTGAATTCTCACAAACTGGTGTTATTGCTGCGTAGCTTGATATTCAAAATAGGTCT